TGTTTCTCTTTATAGTGACTCAATAGGAGCCACACAAACAGACTAACACATATATTATATATAAAAATACATGTTCTAAATGTGTTTAAAACACATATATTGTTTCAGAAATATATATGCAAGATCATGTAAATGTAACTTCTTTTTACTAAAAAAATCTGTAATTGAAATAGTAAATAATTTGTAATTTGTTCCACTGAACACTGATTGTTTTCTCTTCTGTTCCACCTTACAGAGTCCCTGATAGAGTTCAGCCGTCACAGGATGATGGATGCTGTATATCATAGTTTGAGATGATGATGAGAGGAGCAGTGAACATCAGGTGAGAGCTTCACCTCTGTGTCTATGAGCAGAAATACATACAGCTGGAAGAGACTCAGACTTTACAATCAAAACATGTCATACTGAATGATTCGTGTTGCTTTAGTATTCAAATGATCATGTTGTTTTATTTAAAGGTGAAACAGAGGAGGAAGAAGCTCAGATGAGTCTGTCTGGCTCTTCAGTTTAAGATCTACAAACATAATAATATTTGTATTAAACTCATCCATAATGATTCATGTGTTTCTAATCATAAACGTGATTGACAAGTGCATGTATCAAAAGATGTAAAGCAAATCTACAATGTGACATTTCCGTCACTTAAAACATTTACATTTACATGATCGCTCTCTCATTTCATACTCACTGTTACTCTGTTATTTTATATTAAGTTAGTTATGTGTGTGTCTGTTGCTAATGTACAGATATCCAGTATATTGTCAGAGGAAGAGAGATTCTTTCTTAAATAAATGCATGAAACATAAAACCGTATGAGCGATTGTAACAACAGAGATGAGGATCCAAATGCAAGGCTTTATTAAATCTCCTTTGTTTTCCTCTTTTTCTCATTGAATTTAACTCGTTTCATCCCTCAGGCTTACAAGTAACAAAAACAACGACAACAAAATCAATTTGTGATGCATTATGATTATATGAATATTATGATTATTCAAAGATATTTCCCTTGTCATTGTGCTTTTTTTCTGTGTATATAATCTCATACTATGAAATTTTTTGTCGTTATGATTGTTCATTGTTACAGATACAACCATCTTTCCCTGATCTTGTATGCAATTATAAGTTGTGCAATAAAAAAAGAAAACAGGTAAGAGCGACAGGTGCATAGCATCAGTAACCTTAGATAGGTTAGGGTTAGGTAACGAACCTTACCTACGGTTTTCCTCAGCCTGGAGACACCTGAGACTTATATCACATACTGTAACAAGAGGCATAATAAGTGCCCTTTAAACACAAGATCTTCTATTTCAGAAAACGAGACAAACATTGTGTACTTTTTATCTTTCTGTGATGGGAGTAAAACAAGAAACAAAGTAGTAAATTAAAAAAGAGTGAATTAGCTGAGGGCAAATGACTCAGAAATAGTTTTTCAGGCTGTCAATAACCAGTTTTCATTACAATATCAGAATCTAAAGAAAGCTGTGCAGAAACTGATTTGAGTGGGCAGTCTGCCATGTGCTGTGAGGCTTAACTATATTTTAAGTTTATAAATATCTAATAAATATTATCTTGAAACAAATGGTTATTAATAACTAGCTGTACCAGTTCACTAGCTCCTGAATTTGTTACATTGACAGACACTTAATATCTACAACAGCTGGATTCACAGTTGATCTCAGAGAACACATGAAAAGCTGTGACCTGAATTTGTTATCAGGTTAGTTTATTAACAGTAATTCATATTTTTGAGCTTAGTAATGTGTGTGTGTAATGTTATTGATTGAACTATTTTAATGTTTAATGTAATTGACTCTTTCCTGTCGGAGTTTAATTACCGCTGTATTTGAAATGAACATCTTATAAACCTCTATCTCAACTAATGCTGTAAACTATACAATAAACCCTGTCAGATGCTACATTATTAACATTAGTGCACATATGGCTTTTATAATTTAAAGTTTTTATAATATAAAAAAAAATTATAACTTTTTAATAATGTTTCTACTCCAACTCTTCAAATGTTTGTATTTCATGCTGGATTTAGTCAAATAGGAAATATTGAAGACAGGTTCAGTGAAAATATCATGAATATGATATTAATCTATATAGTCTAGAGTTGTTTTTCTAGCTGACTCTTGAGTTTATGGTCATTGAATGTCTTTCCTGAGGTAAATGTGAGGTTATTGATCTCGAGCTGCTGTTTTATTGAAATCTTTCTGCAGTTGAATCACTGATTGATAGATTCCATGATTCATAATTGATTTCAGTGAGCGGTTCTGATTCTTCTGATGTTCGTTCGTGTTTATTTGCTGCTGTAACTAGTAGTAAAGAGGAAGAGATGATCACTTCACTACAGCATCTGTCACCACACATTAAAGAGAAACACATTTACTGATTACATAAAATTTCATAAAACATTTCATAAAACTGACAGAATTTAAAGCGGAGACTTGGTTTCATATCAAATGTAAGCTCAGATTATTACATGGGAAGTGCTACAAATAAAGTTTCTCTACGTTTTGTTCACAAATCAACTGAAAACAGGAGAGACTGATTCTTGGGATTTAAGAGTTGATATCAGTTTGTCAAAATGAGAATTGATTAAAGTCGAGAAATCAATATTTTCTCCTCAGCTCTAGTGATTCCTCTCTTCCCTGGATGAGCTCAGGACAGATGATTATTGTGCTTTATGAACCGCTTTCACTTCTATCAGACACACTATTTGTGGTCAGAAAGCCTAATAAAAAGCAAGACGCTGTAATGTGGAAAATGCAATATTTATTGGATGTACTAAAGCAAACTCCAGCAGAGTCTCAGCGTCCTCGCTTCGCTCTTCCTCTGAAGGAGCCGCCCTTGATCTTCTTCCTCACACCGCTCGACTGTTCTCTGTCGTCAGCCTCTTCCTCGTCTGCTTTGGGCCGCTTCCTCTTCTCTGAGCTTTCCTTCATCTCCTGACAGAAACAGACACGCATCAGCCTCACCTTCATCAGAGATCTCACACACAAACACAGAAGGAGCACTCACGATCCGAGCGAATCTCTGCGCTTCGCTCACTCGCTCCAGCAGCATCATCACTTCCTCTTCCTGTGTGGGGAAGGCGGGCAGTTTCTTCCCGATCAGCGCTTCGATTCGCTGGAACAGCTCCACGTCATACCTGCACAAACACAGTGAGAGCCACTAACACACCTGAAGACACTGAAGAGTTAATAAACGAGACAGAAAGACTGAGACTGACTGTGTGACGAAGGTGATGGATTTCCCAGATCTCCCTGCTCTGGCGGTGCGGCCCACACGATGGATGTAGTCCTGAGAGAAAACAGATTCATGTCAGCACAACACAACATCATCTGCTGTGGAGATAAAGAGGAATTCACAGCAACAATCACGTCTAACGCCAGCATTTCCACTGAGCTAAACAGCAAACAAACAGCCAGTAATAAACACAATCAAGAGGAGACAGAGTTTAACTGCTGAAGTTATCCGTGACTAGACATAGACTAGACGCTATGCAGTATAATCAACATTTGTGTGAACTTTTACTAAAACCAGTCTTTAATAATGTCTGAAAATATATCCAAACCTAATATAAGTAATGTGCTTTATGTCTTACGTTCTCACTCTGCACTGCAGCAAACGGTTTATATGTATTTATATACAGGGCTATACAGCCACCTAGTGGTTACACAGTGGTATAGCAGATGATAAGTTTAGAGATTCATATTTAGAAAAATATCTCTAAAATATTAAAGAAAAAAATATTGAGCTGAAATCATCCTCTATAAGTGTTTGGGCTGTTCAGTGTTCCCGCAGCTCTGCATTCAGGCTTGAATCTGATTTTATCACAGCAGAGTAAAGCGTGTGTGTGTGTGTGTGAGAGTGTGTCTGTGTGTGTGAGTGTGAGTGTGTTCACTTTGTAAGGTAAATAATTTATAAATCTACGCAAACTCAGGAGAATACATTGCGGTTTCAAAATAAAAGCTCAAACCCTCACTCTGAGTTTACACGTTTTGATGTCCACATATTCTTTTAATTACAGTGGCTATAGCATTTCTGTCCTAAATAAATGTCCAAATATTAAAGATTAAGTGGACATTTGAATTAAATGGTGCTTGATAAATATTAAACAATTATTAGATCGCACTGCAATGTGTAAAAAGAATCATTAGGCCATTGGCGCCCTCTGCAGGCTTTTGTTGTAATGCGTAATGTACATTAGCTGTATTGTTTATAATACATTATGTATTTTAACAGTTTTGTTCAATAAAACCATATGATTTCTTGCTTTTGATACTTTATTTGAACTAATTATTATTGCTTCATTGCTATTATATATGTATTTTAAGTAATTTTAAAGGCTATTGTTCACTTACATCTATTTTTATTACCACAAAAAAAAACGAATTATAATTATAGGGCCCTATGAAATCCGTTTTATTCCCAAATTCAGTTTTTTTATTTTTTATTTTAATTTTTCTATACTCCGTTTTAATGGTAAATTAAAATTTTATTAATAGACCAGAACACGTGGATATGTTGTCATTCTTACACTATAATACTGAACTCTGTGAGTTGGACTATGAGACGGACACCTGCTTCTTGCACTCTATGCTGCACTTTACTTTTTTACTTTTGGATTTCATTTGGTTTAATCAATATAGTTTAATAAAATATTCTTAAGTAAAATTGTAGATTTTTTTGTGGGAAATTAACCGTTTAGATTAATCGATCAATTGATAAATTAGTCGATAGATTAATCGAAATAAAAATAGTCATTAGTGGCAGCCCTAGCCTTGTAAAAATTCATCAAATGTTACTGAGCAACTGACGATTAACACTGTTTCAGCGCAGGATTTAAACCCTGGCTAACGAGCTTGTGCTGTCAGAATACAAGCAATTCATGCGTGTATTAGAAAACATAACGTTCTGCAGATTATTTAGTAGTTGTTTAAGGCCATTTGGTGATTTCAATCCTCATACAGTAACCCTTCCTCTTCTCATGGAAGACATGTGATGCAGTGCTAAACAGTTTCTCGCTGTCGGTGCTTGTGATGATTTGTGTGTCTTTCTATGACAGTTTTAAATCCGATATGTTTGCTGTGTTATAAAGAGTGTGCGCCTCTCACTCTACGCTGCTTGCTATTTGAATGCGTCACCAAAAATGTCATTGTTCGGTACAATTTATTCAGTCTTTTCGCTTATATATCTTTCTTTGCTATTTTCGGCCGAATAGTTTCGGTTGCGGAACATTCGGAGCATCCCTAGATTTGAATCAGTGCAGTCTAAACCAATAATATTCAGATGGTCTGAGTGTGTACCTGACTCATCTGTCCGTGGAGAGGGATGGCCGTGATGCCCAGGTTTCTGAGCAAGAGCGCCACCCGCTGGGCGTTATTACACGTGCCGCAGAAAACCATGAAAGAGTTCCCAGCCAGTTCATTCAGGATAGAGACCAGATAACAGTCCTGTGAACAAACACAAGCTCTCATCACACACATCCACTGACAGCACTCTCCTCAGAGTCAGAGTCAGTGTTTAATACCAGTTCATTCAGGATAGAGACCAGATAACAGTCCTGTGAACAAACACAAGCTCACATCACACACATTCACTGACAGCACTCTCCTCAGAGTCAGAGTCAGTGTTTAATACCAGTTCATTCAGGATAGAGACCAGATAACAGTCCTGTGAACAAACACAAGCTCACATCACACACATTCACTGACAGCACTCTCCTCAGAGTCAGAGTCAGTGTTTAATACCAGTTCATTCAGGATAGAGACCAGATAACAGTCCTGTGAACAAACACAAGCTCACATCACACACATTCACTGACAGCACTCTCCTCAGAGTCAGAGTCAGTGTTTAATACCAGTTCATTCAGGATAGAGACCAGATAACAGTCCTGTGAACAAACACAAGCTCTCATCACACACATCCACTGACAGCACTCTCCTCAGAGTCAGAGTCAGTGTTTAATACCAGTTCATTCAGGATAGAGACCAGATAACAGTCCTGTGAACAAACACAAGCTCCCATCACACACATCCACTGACAGCACTCTCCTCAGAGTCAGAGTCAGTGTTTAATACCAGTTCATTCAGGATAGAGACCAGATAACAGTCCTGTGAACAAACACAAGCTCCCATCACACACATCCACTGACAGCACTCTCCTCAGAGTCAGAGTCAGTGTTTAATACCAGTTCATTCAGGATAGAGACCAGATAACAGTCCTGTGAACAAACACAAGCTCTCATCACACACATCCACTGACAGCACTCTCCTCAGAGTCAGAGTCAGTGTTTAATACCAGTTCATTCAGGATAGAGACCAGATAACAGTCCTGTGAACAAACACAAGCTCACATCACACACATTCACTGACAGCACTCTCCTCAGAGTCAGAGTCAGTGTTTAATACCAGTTCATTCAGGATAGAGACCAGATAACAGTCCTGTGAACAAACACAAGCTCACATCACACACATTCACTGACAGCACTCTCCTCAGAGTCAGAGTCAGTGTTTAATACCAGTTCATTCAGGATAGAGACCAGATAACAGTCCTGTGAACAAACACAAGCTCACATCACACACATTCACTGACAGCACTCTCCTCAGAGTCAGAGTCAGTGTTTAATACCAGTTCATTCAGGATAGAGACCAGATAACAGTCCTGTGAACAAACACAAGCTCTCATCACACACATCCACTGACAGCACTCTCCTCAGAGTCAGAGTCAGTGTTTAATACCAGTTCATTCAGGATAGAGACCAGATAACAGTCCTGTGAACAAACACAAGCTCCCATCACACACATCCACTGACAGCACTCTCCTCAGAGTCAGAGTCAGTGTTTAATACCAGTTCATTCAGGATAGAGACCAGATAACAGTCCTGTGAACAAACACAAGCTCCCATCACACACATCCACTGACAGCACTCTCCTCAGAGTCAGAGTCAGTGTTTAATACCAGTTCATTCAGGATAGAGACCAGATAACAGTCCTGTGAACAAACACAAGCTCTCATCACACACATCCACTGACAGCACTCTCCTCAGAGTCAGAGTCAGTGTTTAATACCAGTTCATTCAGGATAGAGACCAGATAACAGTCCTGTGAACAAACACAAGCTCACATCACACACATTCACTGACAGCACTCTCCTCAGAGTCAGAGTCAGTGTTTAATACCAGTTCATTCAGGATAGAGACCAGATAACAGTCCTGTGAACAAACACAAGCTCACATCACACACATTCACTGACAGCACTCTCCTCAGAGTCAGAGTCAGTGTTTAATACCAGTTCATTCAGGATAGAGACCAGATAACAGTCCTGTGAACAAACACAAGCTCACATCACACACATTCACTGACAGCACTCTCCTCAGAGTCAGAGTCAGTGTTTAATACCAGTTCATTCAGGATAGAGACCAGATAACAGTCCTGTGAACAAACACAAGCTCTCATCACACACATCCACTGACAGCACTCTCCTCAGAGTCAGAGTCAGTGTTTAATACCAGTTCATTCAGGATAGAGACCAGATAACAGTCCTGTGAACAAACACAAGCTCACATCACACACATCCACTGACAGCACTCTCCTCAGAGTCAGAGTCAGTGTTTAATACCAGTTCATTCAGGATAGAGACCAGATAACAGTCCTGTGAACAAACACAAGCTCACATCACACACATTCACTGACAGCACTCTCCTCAGAGTCAGAGTCAGTGTTTAATACCAGTTCATTCAGGATAGAGACCAGATAACAGTCCTGTGAACAAACACAAGCTCTCATCACACACATCCACTGACAGCACTCTCCTCAGAGTCAGAGTCAGTGTTTAATACCAGTTCATTCAGGATAGAGACCAGATAACAGTCCTGTGAACAAACACAAGCTCTCATCACACACATCCACTGACAGCACTCTCCTCAGAGTCAGAGTCAGTGTTTAATACCAGTTCATTCAGGATAGAGACCAGATAACAGTCCTGTGAACAAACACAAGCTCTCATCACACACATCCACTGACAGCACTCTCCTCAGAGTCAGAGTCAGTGTTTAATACCAGTTCATTCAGGATAGAGACCAGATAACAGTCCTGTGAACAAACACAAGCTCTCATCACACACATCCACTGACAGCACTCTCCTCAGAGTCAGAGTCAGTGTTTAATACCAGTTCATTCAGGATAGAGACCAGATAACAGTCCTGTGAACAAACACAAGCTCTCATCACACACATCCACTGACAGCACTCTCCTCAGAGTCAGAGTCAGTGTTTAATACCAGTTCATTCAGGATAGAGACCAGATAACAGTCCTGTGAACAAACACAAGCTCACATCACACACATTCACTGACAGCACTCTCCTCAGAGTCAGAGTCAGTGTTTAATAACAGTTCATTCAGTATAGAGACCAGATAACAGTCCTGTGAACAAACACAAGCTCACATCACACACATCCACTGACAGCACTCTCCTCAGGGTCAGAGTCAGTGTTTAATACCAGTTCATTCAGGATAGAGACCAGATAACAGTCCTGTGAACAAACACAAGCTCACATCACACACATCCACTGACAGCACTCTCCTCAGAGTCAGAGTCAGTGTTTAATACCAGTTCATTCAGGATAGAGACCAGATAACAGTCCTGTGAACAAACACAAGCTCTCATCACACACATCCACTGACAGCACTCTCCTCAGAGTCCATGAAAGAGTTCCCAGCCAGTTCATTCAGGATAGAGACCAGATAACAGTCCTGTGAACAAACACAAGCTCTCATCACACACATCCACTGACAGCACTCTCCTCAGGGTCAGAGTTTAATAAAGACAGAACCTTGTACTTGGACGGGATGAAGATGTAATACTGTTGCAGCTTGTCGACGGTGGCGTATTTGGAGGAAACGGTGCATTTAACAGGATCCTGTAGAGCCGCGCGCTGCAGCTTCTGCACCTGAAACACAGAGAACCTCTGCTTTAATCAGGGCTGCACTGATGCTTACAGCTACTTTCAGCTGCTTACACACACAATCTTTACTAGTCACACAGTTTCTGAGAGCTGACACTCAAACAGCAGAAGCACACACCAGATCTGCAGAACCTTACACTGATTCTCAGCCACTGACTCAGTTTTCAGTTTCAGAAAACACAAAACACAATTCTCTGTGTAACACACACAAATCTAACAGCAAGCATCTTGATTAGGGCTGCTCGATTATGGCAAAAATCATAATCATGATTATTTTGGTCAATATTGTAATCACGATTATTTAACATGATTATGAGTGATTTATTTAAAGATAGTGATGCATATTACATATATATTTTCTGTAAATAAGGTTGCTATGACATCTACAATTTAGAGACATTTTCGAACTGTCACAATTCTCAACACCACAACAGAGTATTAGGGTAACTGACATTAGTAACAAACAAACAGTCCTCAAAATTACTGAAAATAATTAAATCGTCAGTAATAAAAAAGCAAAGGACAAATGACGTAGAATAGAAATGTAACAAACTGTGCTTAAAAGTTTTTTTAATGCAAGTCTCATTAACAGAAATGTAAAATAAAACAGCATAGTCTGAGTAAGAATTAAACTTTCCTTGTTTCTTATTAAAGGGTTAGGGTTAGGGTTATTAAAGCTACAAAGGTCCTTCACTCCAGAGCAGTGTGTGATTTTGAATTTGTCTTTTGTTGTTTGATTAATATGAAGCACACAGTCGGCAGCAGGTTAGGCTGCTTGCTGTCACTTTAAGAGCTGCACGGATCCAATTTACTGTTACACACGTATTTTCATTCTCAACTCTTTATGTTCATTTATTACATGACCGACGAGGGTTTACGCGAATAACGGCACAAGTTCTCTTTAGCACTTTTAAAAACATGAATAAATCTAATACACTTCAATACATCAAGCACATCCCATTTAGCCAAAGTCACGTTACATGATTCACTGATTTGCATGTGAAACTGGGCTTTTACGGAGGAGCGAAAGAGCACCGCTGGAAAGCCCCGTGAAGCTGTGGTTTACAGTGAATTTATAACAGCTAAGGGGCGTTGTTAGGCACGATGTGAAGCAGAGTCAAAAACCCTCTTAGCTGTTATAAATTCACTGTAAACCACGGCTCCACGGGGCTAATTGCTTTATTTAACTGCTTTATATAACTTATCCAGCTTCTTCTTCCCATAAAAATGGGTAATTTGTAAATTCTATGGGTCTGGCTTCCGGTCTCATCCACGTCCAGCTATTTTTAGCTGTACAGAACCACTCGTTTTGCTGCTTGACATTGAAAATTGGTGTGTCTTACCATATTATTTGAATGTGTTGTCTTAATTATGAACACACTGGTTTATAATGCAAACAGTTTTACCGTTTACTGCACGTTGTTATTCTTCTCGTTATTTCTCTACAGCGGCTAATGAACCAGAAGTCTTGCCCATAGGCTTACTTCCACGTTGAAGAAAAAGGTGGATGGGTAAGATGAAATTAAAATGCCAATGACACGTTTCTGAGGACAGTCGGTTCCCTTCAGATACATTCAAATAAAGACATCCGCGCCGCGTTTTGACGTGAAACGTGCAGTGCTCCTATTTATTCAATGACATCATTGTTTTTTTAAGTTTAATCCAGGTGCATCGCGACTCTTGTCTTTCCGTCCCCAACTGTAAGACCTCTTGAAAT